ATAAAAATTAAAATTGTGGTTTGATAAGCAAGATTGATTCATACCTAATGCAAGTGCATAACTGTGTAAGTAAGCAGTGATGTAATGAGTAACTGAACTGATCAAAGTAAACAGTGTTTCAATTTCAATTTTAAAACCCATGATTTTTTGCTATTTTTCCAATTAATATCTTTAGGCTTAGTCAAGATGCTATTTCAATATCATATTTTTGCAGCTATTGCCATAATATTAATTTTGTACCAGAAATTTCTCCAAGACTGCTTTAATTCCTCCCAGAACCTCATTTACGCAAACACTTATACTCTGCAATCTCTGTTGTACAGAAGAATTTGCACATCTCAGTTCAAGCTCTGAGTGGACTGCCTAACTTGATACTGCAACATCATCAAGCTTTCTCTTGCTGTTGTCACCAACATCAAAAGCAACTGAACCAGAGAAGAGGAGCAAGCTTGGAAGAAGCTGAGGTGCAACTATCCAAGTCATCACAGATTCATACTAGTCACATCTATATTAATCCTTTTGTTAAATTCTCACAATACAGTGGGTGATCGGTTAACGAACATAATCCATTCCAAGACTTTGTTCGTTAACCAATTATCGATTTACCATAGGTTTTTATGGGAATTTGATTAATTTGTTCCGGAGACTCCAAAAAATAAAAAAATAATAACTTTTTTACTATGTTTATTTATATGTAATAATAAAAATACACATATATGCAGTCTTGCATTTTTATTAGTCATGTTTTTTCCGTTTGTGGGGGTTAAAGAATCTGTCCAATGTTGATTGCTTTTCTCTTTTCTGCAGTATTTTTCAGAAGTAATTAATAGTATTGTAATTGTAGAGATCCCAACACCATTAACCCTATTCTAGTTTGGATGCCACTTGGTTGATCGTTGTTCTGACATCCTCCCACTTCTCCAAAAGATCTTTAGTAGCAAATGTTGACATTGATTCTCCCTCTTTCGTCTTCCTTTTTTTTGAATTGAGAGTTTTTTGAGTTCATCTGTCATCAGATCAGATTCATCTTCTTGATTATACTGTATCTTTCTTAGATAAGATTGAACTGCACCCTACTGTAGATTTTTTCAAGCCATACTGCCCAGCAGCATCAGACATCTTCTGCCCACTCTCTACCTTTGCTATTTTACCTTTCGAAAATAAAACTCGACGCAACACTTAATAAGTGCCCGCCCAACATTCTCACAAATACTATAAAAGAATTGTTTTTGTCAGAAAAATAAAAGGTTGACATTACAAGGGAGAATTTCAAAGTTCGGAGGAATAATATCTGATCAGTATATTCCAGGTTTGAGCGTCGATGTCGACATCTCCAGCACTCCGAAAAGTTTCGAATTGTTGCCTGAAGACAAGGGAAGATCAATTGGTATTTGCTATTTTCGTCGCTTCTTTTTATGTTTATTCAGTGAAGTGTTCATTATCCAAACATGTGTTCGTTGTCCAATCATAAAAACCTTTCACGAAAGTATTCGTTATCCGATCTGTTCATTAACCAATCACCCACTGTAGTATCAACCTTGAGGTTTTTCAATAATTTTATTAATTCTGAAAACTTTCTTTGTTAGTCTGTTGTCATTTTTTATACAGTAATCATAACTATAGACACTACAACATTACAGTGGTTAGTTATTATTTTGAAATTGTGTGCAAACACTATACTGCAGCATATAGAAGCCAAAATACAATTTAAGTAAATTAATATTTTGAAACAAAGTGTTATGATGAAAGAGTCTGATGCTGGCAAATCACAGCATACTATTGCAAAAGACTTGTAAATTTCTAAAATGACAGTATGCAACATTATCAGGAATGAGGAAAACATAATGCAGGTTTACAACCAAAATTGTTCATCCAGGTGAAAACGATTCTAAAAATAGAAAAGGTAAATAAGATATATGAGTTTTTTACTTAATGTGGTGCAAGAAACAATTGTAACTGGTACAATGCTGCAAGAAAAAACAAGTACAACAAATTCCAAAGTTGGCATTGATGGATTTGTAGCTAGTAATTTGTTTTGTTTCAGATGCAACATTTAGTTCAAAATGTTAAGTGGAGAAGCTGCTGATGTAAACGTAGCTCTGGTGTAGATTGGAAAACAAACTTCTGGAATTAGTTGCTGCTTATGAACATTCTAATATTATTGATGCTGATGAGAGCAGAACTTTTTTACAAGTAGCATTCAAGTCATTCCTTGTAGAAAGGAATAATTTTTGCAGAAGTGGCAAGAAAGTAAACAATATATAATGTTCTGTGGTCAGTGCCACCAGAGAATAAATTAAACCATTTTTATATAATTAGTAATGCAAACAAATCTTGATCATTTTGAGGAAACAATGTAAAACCTAAAAACCTTTCAGATGAAGGTCTGGCTGAATTCTGCAAATATTTCAAGAATAGAATCAAATAAAAAATACCATAATTTCTAGCAAATTCTTTTTTTTTTTATCTTATTACAAAAGTCTTTCTCAGGCTTCGACAAAAGTAAAACTTTAAACTCTGAAAAGAACCGCTTGTAGTTGTGATGATTATATTAAATACTTCTTGTTTGCTGTAGCTTGAAGAAGAACTTTTAATACGGTCAAAAATATCTGCAATAAAAGAAATTTGCTGGAATTTATTTATATACAGTACAATAGCAACTTGTGGTATCTAATATGGCAGTGCTGTTGCAGGAGGGCAAGTAACCCTAATAGAATCATTTTGATCAGTGCTTGTTTTGATAAAAACATTAATTTTTACTTAAAAATAATGAAAACCAGTGCCAATCAAAACATCATACAAAATGAAAACAATTCTTTTAGGGTTGCATGCTACATGCCCTCCTGCAACAGCCCTATATTAGATGCAACCATCTATCACTAAATAGTTGTAGCTTGTGGTGTTTAATATAGGATGCTGTCACAGTGTCTAATATTACAAACTTTTTGTGTAACTTCCAAAGGGACTGTTGAAACCAACTTTTATGGCTTTTTATTTAAAAGAATACCAACTGTGGCCTTAATAGACTGAGATTTTGAATGTAAGTTAAAGGCTCTGTGTATTAAAGCCAGAGGTTTTCTTATAAACTATAGTACCTATGGAAGATATGAGTATATACTGAGGCACAAAAGACTGTTTTCTGTAAACTGCAATACTGTATTTCTCAGTTAAAGAAGCAGATATTATGGTCAGTCCTATATTTATGACAACTTAGTTCCTCAAAGATCACCTTCCAGTTACCTATTGGAAAGAAAGTTGGGTAGATTTTGGACCTGTATGGGCTGCAACAAGATTTAATCCCAGCTCATCAACTTGGTGCCATATTGATAAACTGATAAATCCCCTTCCAGTAGTCATCAGTGGTTGATGAGGATATTTTAAAGCACAGAGTAGCATAGCATTACAAAATAGTAAAATACTGATGGACAAGAAATTATCTTCCATCACAAACTACTCTTTATTAAAAAATATACAAGTGAAATGACAAACCTTAAAATAAACTGCTCAGCTAATTTATAACTAATTTAGGTATTTTCTATTATTGACTGTTTGTAACAAGTATGATCAAGACAGATAGAAGATTAAGAGTGGTATGGGTATATGATGATGATGATGTTTTGCCCATAAAAGTGCTGAATGGAAAATGATGGGTACCAAGTTAAGGGAAAGGCCACAGAAACAATGCATTAACTCTATAAAACACAGATGAACAGGGGACAATGGAAGAATAAAACTAGAAGACAAGAAAGAATGGAGGGTAATAGTGATAGCAGCAAGGGATCTAGATGACCTCTGATACCATATGATGATGACGAAATATTATAGCTAGCTGTTTCAGATGTATAATAATTTGCTATTTATTTTGCCAACAAGAATTAATAGCATTATGTTATTTAAAGTATACAATTTTTACATTCTTCACTCCATTTTACTGTCAACTTTTTGTTATACAATGCTATTGTTTTTGCTTATGTAAAATTATGTAATTTGTTTTAGTTTAAAAATATCTAATTCTTTGGCCATTCTCCCAGGCTTTGATGGAAGAAATTGAAAGAACAACATAATGATTTTTATAAATTTTACATTAAATATCCCATTTAATTAGAAGTTTTAATTAAATATTTTAACTAAATAACTGTAAAATACTGCGGTTGAAATCAAATTGCAAATAAAAATATACAGTCTTCTCACTTTCTTTCATAGCCTACAATAAAACCCTACAATAATATTTTTGACAGAGAAAATTCTGCAAGAAATGATCAGCTTTCTATATTGAGTTGATCTTTAATTATAGGCTCTATTCAAAATATTTTTATATACAGAATGCATAGTAATTTTTTTATACACTGATATGTGTGATGCACAACATGCAACATACAATTAACTAATGCTTCATTGATTACAGAAAAACCAAAAATACACACATTATAAATGAGCACACAAGAAATATGTATTTTACAGTCCATACTTGACAAGCACATTAGCATTTCACACTTTCTATTAACACCATTCATGCATATGGTGTCCTTTAAGTCACATTTTACAACTTTGTAATGGACTGTCTTCCAGTATTGTTTTTGATATAGATGTGCTGATCTCACAATTGTACTTCTAGCAGTGCCACAAGGATTCTCATCTCATACTGCATATTCACTTTAACCGTATGTCACATTTGTAACTGTAGCTATAGCTATCTGCATTCGTCAGTTATGTGAGTGTATAGGGAACTTACCAAATATCTTGTATATTGCTTTGAGCCTTTTACCATATTAAGAAACTACAGATATTTCTGTTTATCTTTAATTATAATATTTTTAAAGTGAACTTTAACTGTAACTAAATTCAAATTTAAGATATCGAATATCTAATGAAATATTTGAATTCATGTAAGAATTGCTACAAGAAAGCATATTTACAATTTTGTCCATAAAAATCTGTAATGAGATATTTAATTTTTAGTATTTGTAATTGTTTTTCTTTTATATTTATTTTAATTCCAGAGTACAACAATGCATTGGTGGCTGTCATTTTTCTTCATTTACTATACCTGTATACTAGAAGTTTTAAAAGTTTATGGGATTTCGCCTCCACTTCCGTCATTTCCTTCTCCAAAAATAAAAACATCATCTAATTTAAATCCTTGTAAAGTTTGCCAAAACTTTGTGGAATCATTTAATAAGGTTAATTTCATTATACGTTAAAAATTATCTGTTTTAAATATTTATTTGGCAATTGATTTTTATTATTGAATGTAATTAGGGTATGAAAAACACTGCTCGCGGAAAACATGAAGGTGGTGATGCAGAATGGGAAGAGAGTCGCTTGGGAAGCTATGCTGACAGGTAAATTATTTTAAATTTTACTGTTATTTTCTAGTCCTTTTATATTTTATAAAACAAATCAAAGATTGAACTAAAAGTTATTTTTCCATTGTTTGCTTTAACAAAATACACTAAACTTGGTGCAGTTGTTCTCAACCTTTCTGAGGCTACAAAACACCATTCATATATTTTCTATTTTGTGGAGCATCAGCATAAATCAGTAATTCCACATTTACTATTCTCTCAAAACAGTAAAGCATACACTAATAAACTTTGTTGTGTATAATATAATAGTAAATGTGGAATTGCCTATAAATAAAGTAATATGTTGTATCACATGGTGTAAATTTGCAATAAGAACTTGGCAATAATTTTTTTTTCATTGAATGTTCAGGGCAAGCTTGCAGAATTCCACAGAACATGGATCAAGAACCACTGACTTAGTGCATTAGCATAAAAATGTCAAATGATGGTAATGTTCTGTAGAAAAATAATGAACTATAATGTCTTCATATTTGTCAAATGATGCTGAAAAAATTATACAGCTGTTCTGCTATATCATACAATATATCAATATATTCATCATTTTTTTATTTTTATCAAAAGTAAATGCATTTCTTGATTGTTTTGAGCGTATTTGAGTATATTACTAGTATTTTAATCTATTCACTTATAACTATTTCATATATTATATAGGACACTTCAAAGAATGTGATCTGTAATGGCAGGTTGTTCTCCTTCATGTGAAATAAGTTTCAGCCCAATCACAGAGTTCTCAAAAAAGTACATTTTTACTACTTCTGCCACACTTACTTCATACCTCTAAATAAGTGTTAACATTTTTCTGAATCATCCTGTATAGTTAATGAATATGTATGTGCACAGGATATCCATTTAAACATTTAACTGGGGCAAAAGAGATCTTTCCAGTATTGGTTAGATTAAGTTAGGTTGTGGGTTATGGCAGACACAAATATACCAGATGTTACTTTTTGATGACATGCTCCTATTCTGCTGTTATCTGCAACTGACACAAAACATGCAGAGGAGGCCATATGGAGAATGGTATGAAGTGATATCAAATTTACAGCATGATGGACCACAACTCCTTTGGCACATTTTATGGACTGACGTGATCAAGACCATAGATATTATGAATAGGTCAGATTAGTTATATTGGTCACTCAAGAATAGGAGACAACCTGCCAGAGGCATTAAGGGAACGAGAAAGAGAGAATGCAAAAGCACCAAAGCATTTTTAATTGAAGAATTTGTTGTAATTGATGAATGTAGTTGTTATTTACATGCCACTTGCTTCGGTTTTAAGTCAGTTACATATCCAATCATATACTTCTCTTTATTAGTATGTTACAAATGTTTTTATATTGACATAATAAAGGAAATCAGGGTCTCTCTTAGCATCCTGTCCATATTACATTCTATCAAGGCAGGCCTTCTAGAATGTAATAAGGAAAGGATGCTGAACAAGAGAGACCGTGATTTCCTTTATTATGTCAATATAAAAACATACTAACTCATATCAAAATATGAATTAGTATTTTCTGCTGCTGTTTGAAGAGCTTTGCTATTATTCTGCTGAGTTGACAGTGATGTTTATTGAGACATATTAAAACTATCATAAACAACTGAAGGAAATGATACTCTTAATCAAAAATTTACACTTGTAAATTACAGTAACAATTTCATTATTCTATTGAACAATTATGTTTTCAACCAAATTAACTGGCCTTTTTCAGTTAACAAACTATTGAATACAAGGTTCCAATATATAAGAACAAAAATTTAAACTTTAAATCAAATATACAAAATTTGAATATAACAAAGCATGAGATAAAAGTTTGTCCCAAACACAAATACAGTGGGTGATCAGTTAACAAACATAATCCATTCAAAGACAATGTTCACCACCCAAATTGTTTGATTAACCAATTATCAATTTACCACAGATTTTTATGGGAATTTTATTAATTTGTACTGGCAACTCCAAAAACATAATAATTATTATTATTATATAATTTCTTAATACATTTATTTACATGTAATAACAAACTAAAAGCAATCTTACCATTTTTTCATGGATGGGACATTTTTGTTTCTCAGATGTGATTTTTGTTACTTTTTATCTGCTTAAGTCTTTTTGATTATAACTTTCTTAGTTAAGATTGTACCTGCTTTAGACCTATTGAAGCCATACTGCCTAGCAACATTAGACATCTTTTGCCCACTCTCTACCTTGGCTGTTATCTCTTGCTAAGTTTCTATAATGAACACAGTTCTTGACACTCCACTGTTTTTAGATCCCATAATATTATCAGTTTTTTTAAATAAATACATATAAAAATTCAGAGAACAGAAATCAACTAGTGCAAAAAAGGTTATGTATACAACTGTGAAAGCCTCGTTCCTTAAACCATTCATAAATACCAGTTTTACAAATGTTAAATGCATCATCGCTTCTGTTTATTCTGTCAGGTGTTCGTTATCCGAACATGTGTTTGTTGTTTGAACATAAAAATCTTTTGCAAAAGTGTTTGTTGTCCAATTTGTTCAAAGTCCAAACTGTTCATTAACTGATCACCCAATATATACCATTGATGGGAACCTTTCTAATATGGCTTTGGCAGATTACCATCACAACATCCAGGGAAATGGGACGAAGGAAAAATCATCAGACCTAATGGCAATGCCAATTCTCTTAAGTATTTAAAGAGATTAGAAAATTATAAGGCTCTTAAGAATTTCACATGCATCAATTATCATGATGTGGACACACTCTCCATCACTTGGTGTGCATTATACAAAGTCTAACTTGATCAAATTTTGTTATTTTAACGCTACATTAAATAGTTATTACTGTTTTTACTGTATTTTCATTTTATTTACTTTTGTATTTTAAATTTTGTATATTCTTTTATCTTTAAATTTTTATCTCATGTTCCTTTAAATTCAAACTTTGTATTCAATAGTTCTTTAACCGAAGGCGGCCAGCTAATTTGGTCAGAAACATTATTATTCTATTAAACTTGTATGGGAATTTAAAGGTGTGAATTTTTGACTATGTACTGTACAGTACATACTAATTCAAATGCTGTGTACTTGCTAGTGTACTGAATAAACTAATAGGGATTGCGGTGTTTCTTATGAACCAGTTGTGACATGGAGAATAACAAAACAGTCAAAGCCATTCTCTCCTTTGTGTTCAAATTGAATCTCTGATTACTACAATTCATAGTAGTAACTTGATCATGGATGATTTATGTAATTTATTTTTCAGTATTTTCATACAATAATAAAGTAAATATTTATATATATATATATATATGGACAGTCATGTCCCTCTANCAGTATTTTCATACAATAATAAAGTAAATATTTATATATATATATATATATTTTTCCAGATACTGAGCAAAACTATTATTTTAAAAGATTAAAACTACTTGAATTCAAGGGTTGGATTTCACACTGATCTTTGGTTAAACAAGAGAAGAACAAATTATCATAGGCATTAATTACGCATAAATACCATTATATTTGCAAGTGCTTTTGATGTGCTATAAAACATCGTCCTCAGGCAGACACAATCTCAAATAAAATTTTCGAGCAAAGATTTTGAATTAAAACTAACGGCATTAATCCTTTAGAACAAAACTAAACAGAACAATTAAATTGACACATGCATGGTGACAATGCGCATGCACCATAATGTGTTGAATAGGCACGAAGAAGGAGCTAGAGATAATGTTTTAATCTTTTATACAAGCTGACCCATATAGCAGGCAACTCAAGCATGAGGGAGTTGCACGGATTTAGTAAAACAATAAGGAGGGCCTCCCAAACATACACCAGGCTCCTCTGATCACAATACCTGAGTATTGCCACACAGTCCCACAGCAGGGCGTGTTGATGTTGTAACACCATTCTTGCTAGCTCAGTGTCACACCTGCCTGTCCTGATGGAATGTTGGAGTTTGGAGATGCGGCAAGATAACATTCTGATTGTCACTCCTATGTAGGGGGTGTGAATATCAGATGTGTTTTCCAATGGGATAGAGTATAGTATGGAAATAGCATACCTGTCATTGCATAGCAGCCTCCTGAGATTTGGCCACGGAGTGACCAGCAGAAATAGTGCATGTTGTCTAAAAATACAGCAAATGTGGGCAGTGATGCGGCCACATAACAGTAATGAGGGACGGACAATTGTGCATTCCTTTGGGATGCGTAAAGTGGTAGTGGGAAAAAGAGATCATTTAACCTTGTTCAAGATATATTTATATTTGGAATTAGTATAAACTGTCATATTTACTGCTGAGCGAATGGCAGTAAGCTCAGTATTGATAGCAGTTTGTGTGGAAGGCAACAGAAAGATCCTTCTAATTAAAGGGGCTATAACTGCATTGATGTAGTGCTGCGGATGGTATGCTGTGGCAGGGATTAAAGGAGTTATGTTGTCCTAGCCTCTAGCTCCTTCTCAGCATCTATTCAACACATTATGGTGCATGCACATTGTCACCACATGTGTGTCAATTTAAATTCTTCATGTTTAGTTGTTCTAAGTTTAGTTTTGTTCTAAAGGATTAATGCCGTTAGTTTTAATTTGAAATCTTTGTTCGAAAATTTTATTTGAGATTGTGTCTGCCTGAGGACAACGTTTTATAGCACATTGAAAGCACTTGGAAATATAGCAGTATTTATACGTAATTAATGCCTGTGTGATAATTTGTTCTTCTCTTGTTTAGATTAAAACTAAAACAGGCTGTATAAAAACTAAAATTTAAAAAAATTGAAATTTTATATCTTAAAAAAATACCTGACAATGATTAGTTAATGATTAATCATACAATTAGATGATTATACAATCCTGATTTATCATTCATTGTTATTTGATGTACTTAATAATCATTCCATCACTACACTTGAATACACAAAACCGAGTATCGAGCATCCTAAACATGACTGTGAAGGGTTTCTTTTTTCATCAAGAATTTTACTGTAACATGCTAATAGTTCTTGCATACTGTCTATAAGACATGTTTATTTTGGAATTTATTGTAGTGAATGTAAATCAAGAATCATTTATAAATAGCTTAATTAAACTGTACAATAACGCAGTTTCTTTTACAGGAAAAATTAATTTGATAGATTAATAATATTTTTTAACATGTTTTAGTGGGAGTGTGGTATCTTACTTATTTCTCCATTAAATTTGATACCTTTAAACTAATACCATTATACATATGAACAACTCATATTAAAATATAAATTTTATCAAAGAAATGATTTTATAAGTAATAGATCTCAGAAATTATTATTAATTTTTTTTCTATTTTACTAATTCTATTAATTTTAGAATTGTAAACTATCCTAATAGACACTGTCTTCATATAACTATAATTTGTGATTGTTACAGTGAAGTACGTTTAGTTGAAATTCAAGAAAATTTATGTTCTGATGTAAAGATTGGTGAAGATGATGTAAGTGTTTAATGTTTTAAAAACTTTGGTTTCTTAATATTTTTATACATAAAATTACTTAAAATATATCTGTTAATGATTAAGAATGATAATTTCTCTAATATTAACTAATTAAATAAAAACAACTATCCATGTGAATTTTATACAAAGTAGGATCCAAAAGTTTGGGAACTTGGCATATAGTTCCTTGCCTTGAATAGCTTAAATTTCTGACACACAACTGCCTTCAAAATAATTCCCTTGAGTGACGATACACTCAAGGGGCAGGGCAATGCTTCCAGAAGCCAGCACTCGCATGGCTTCTGGAAGCATTGCCATAAGCCATCTTTCACAGCCACTCATAATGCCTCTTACGATGCCTTTACTTCTTTCGGAATTTATTTCCAAAGACAGAGTGCTGAACATAGAGCATTATCTAGACATTTTATATCCTTCATGTGAAATTTTTAAATAACAAATAAATTAATTGAAATATCTTATACTTTATAGATTTGTTGTTTTTAAAAGGGGAATATTTTTACAATTCAGTGAAAATACTATTGAAATAAACTGATCCATTTTGGGATTATAACTTTAAATTCCATCATCTAATTGTTTAATTTCCAAATAACTCATTTAATGCTGTTTGATTAATAAAATTTAGCAAACTTAATGTTTATATGATTTGTATATCTTAACAAAATTTGTGCTTTTATTACATTCAATAATTGAAATTATATGGAATTTTCTTTTATGAATATGCATATTGTGTAGTATAATTCATTTTTTGTAATACAAACAATATAAATGTTTTCATTTCAGTGTCATAATATGGCAGAACAGCATGAATCAGTCTTGGAAGATTGGTGGTTTCATCACAAACAAAGCATTGCTTTATTTCAATATTTTTGTATCGATAACGTGAAAGGTAATAAATGTAAAAATATTTCTTTTGTATATTCTTCATTGAAAATTATTTTGTTAATTAGAAGATGTTGAATGGTTTAAGAGAAAGTAAAATTTTTCTAAATGAATTTTTTACCAAACTCAAATATTTACAGCAGATTCATATTTTTTAGTAATCTCAAAAGTTTTTCAATTTTTAAACGTTTGGATTTCATGTTACCTATTTACATATTAAGGAGATATGACGTCTAAATATAATTTTTCACTTTGAGGTGAAAGAAACAGTCTGCAAAGTATTGTAAGAGATGAACTGTAGTGTAATTTAGTAGTAAATTTAAGGTACGAGATGTCCAAAAAAGTTACCATATAGTGAGAAATTTATAATAAAGTTATACTTACAGATTGCACATACATAAGTAAGCCATACATTGTGCATTTCCACTTTGCAGTAGATGGCATTACTGATCACTTGTAGATGTTCTAGTTTTTGGAAGACTTGTTTGACAATCACATAATCTTCCACAGAATCTGTCCCTTGATGTCTTTGGACCTTGCTCCTCTGGATTTTAGTCTCTGTGGTACATTTCTGGCATTTGCCATTGCAATTGCCTATGGGAATATTATCAAACCAATTGGAATTATTGTTGGCATTTCCGTAATCATTTGACACAATTCTAGATGACATTCTTTATATTGAGTAGCTAAGAAATGAAAATAGCATTTATTTTATTTCTTTAATGATATGATTCTATTTCATTTGACATGCCAAGCTGACTGAAACTATAACTATTAATGAAATATAAAACACCTTACCACTGGGGTATTTAAGTTTTCTCTACTAATGTTTTTCAACTCTGTTTATGAGCAAATTTGAACATAATTTACCTAATCAGGTAAATTATGTTCAAATTTGGAAAAACATCAAACATTTCTTTTCAAATTTAAAATGGAATTAACAAGAATATATTTAACAACTTTTTAACTTTAAAATTCTAAATTATTATTCTACTTACTTATCCATTTTACTTAATTAAACTTGACTGGAATTTTTATGGTTCCTTATCTATTTATTATCACTAAAAGAAATTATTTTTGAATCAGAAAGTCTATTTGTTAATTTTTGCTGTAAATTTTTTAATATTCTGAAATGTTTCCAGTGAAATTTTGTTTAATTTAATTCAAAATTTATGCAATATTTTCTCTTCCAAATGATTTTCTTAAAAACCCAAAATTTTATGAATAAAGTCTTTCTACATTTCAAAAAGGAAAAATAAAACTGTTAATGTAGGATCATAAGCTAACAATAGAACATATAAATATTAACTTAACTGAACAAAGCTGCCAACATGTTTTAATTTTTGTATTTATCAAGACATTCCTCCATTCATTTATCTTTCTTTATCCAATACAAAATACAGTCAACTATTTACTTTTTTATTTAAATTGAATTTCTTCTAATTATTCATTCTTTGGTTGAAGTTGTGTAGATAAGTGCCATAAATTAAAAAGCATTTGAATAAATCTACTTTGTTTGTTTTCTACATATGAAGTAATGCTTTATGACTTCATTAGTAGATGTATTTGAAAAGATTTTGCATTATCCAATTAATTATGTATTGTAGAGTGTAATTATTTAATTAATTAGTATGTATAGAGCTAAAATGTCTAGGCCAGGCATGGCCAACATATGGCCCATCTAATGAATTTATGTGGCCTGCGATTAATCTCTCAATATTAGCTACTCAAGTCCAAATAGCTTGATGAAAAATTGTGACGCCTAAAAAAAAAAAGGTCAACAACTCACTGCACGTTTAGAGTTAACCCTCCATTACAAATCTCGTAAGTACAGCGTAGAATGTTGATAAAGCATGATAACGTGGAAAATGTATCTGTAATCTCTATGTATAATTTAGTCTCTACAGGGTAAAACCACAATGAGATCTCGCACCACCTCAAAATCTTCCTAGGGCAGCCTCTGGTTCAGCCTGTGGAAAAAGTTCTCTTTCCAATTCGGCCCAGGGGCAAAAACTGTTGGCCACCCCTGGTCTAGGCACTAAAAGTCTTACAAAAATCATATCTTATATGATTTATAGTGCTTAGATGGTTTAACTTTAGTTATGTCTTATTCGTTGTTTTGTCTTTTCAAATGAACATACAGTATGATTGGTTTTATTATACATAATTTTTTTTTACTTTCCCAGCTTTTATAACAACTTGGGAAACTAATGTAATTTGTCTCATATTTGACTCTGGTTTTTTGCAAATCTCAACATTTTGAGACCTCCTGAAACCAAAAAAAAAGTAAAGAGAAAAAAAAATAGAAAGAATTCTGCATGTTGTATTGGCATCTATTTTATTTAGTATCTCATAGGGTAAAGATTAAGAAATGAAATTTGTTATGGTAACTTGTATATAAGGAGCATTGATGCTATTTAGAACTCGAAGGAAGTCATGTGTCTTATATCAAATGGTGTCAGACTTAATGAAAATTTTACCCATTATTGGCATTTACAATATTTTTGAAAACTTATCTCTATCTTTAAATTTAAGTTATTTTTTGCCTTTTTATTATAATTAATAATATAAAAGTTATTTTTAATGATATCTCTTAACAGTTGCTGCCACAAACAACTTTAACTTTGAGCTAGTGTCATAGTGTTTTTAAACTTGAATCTTTTTTTAAATGGAAATTTTAATGTGCAACTCGAACACTAACTATGTAGTGTATTCACTCGGACACAAGGCAAATTTTTGTTTAAATAACTTCAACTTTTTTCTGTGAATATCAGAAACATAAATAAATTCTGTTATCTATATTTTATCTCAGATAGTATATACAAGCTCAGTTATACAGTTTATAGACTACTAAAAGTTGCAGATTGGCAGATTGGCAGAAGGGATAAGAAGTGGATGGACTATAGTCCATCCACTTCTTATCCCTTAAGAATTGTCTTAGATGCACGATGAAATATTTTATAGATAAAATAAAGCAGCTGGTTTTGAAGAGTTCATGGGATTTTTTTGATTCAATACTAAAAGCTTTAAATCTTTTTAATTGTAAACAAAATAATTTTTTTTTTTTTTTGTTATATTGAACACCACATGGTGTAAATACATGAATACTAGGCAATCTTCATTTTAAATTTATTCAATTTTTAGTTGATTTTAATCAAATTTATTTATCTATGTATGTATTTTATAGAAATAAATATAAATACTGTACATGCTTTGTATATAAAGATTGGCTAGTTTGTTGCAGTTTATTAGCGCAAGAGCCATGTAGACATATTGTACATAAAAGTCTATATAAGTTAATATAATGATACTTTCAGTTTGCTGTCCCTACAATCATTATGGCCCTACATGCGAACCTTGTAATGGTGGAATTGAAAATCCTTGTAATGGTCGTGGCGAATGTGACGTGAGTTTGTCAATCAATTAATATATTTTTAGTTATTTAAATAGTTTATTCTCTACATTACATTTTTATAAGAAATTGAGATGAATTGCTCTTAATAAAAATTTATTTTAGGGTAACGGAACAAGATTCGGTAATGGAAAGTGCAAGTGTCATGAGGGTTACCAAGGAGATCTTTGCGATCAGTGTACAACCGGTTATTATCGAGATGCCGATAAACTTGAATGTATTGAGTGTCACGTTTCTTGTAAACAGCATTGTCGAGGACCTGGTCCTTTAGGCTGTGAAATGTGCAAAGAAGGATATCATCATGAAACTAATTCTGGATGTACTGGTAAATTATTTTAAAGTATTTTTTATATGTATTATTATTTTTTTTATGTATTGTATCTGCCACTTAACAATGGAGATATGTTCCAAGAAATATGTTGTTAATTTATTTTGTTATTGAACAAACATTGTAGATTGTACTTAGACAAATCAATTTAATATAGTCTACTAGTCATGTAGGCTATATGTAACACAATGATAAGCATTTATGTATGTAAACATATCTATTTATAGAAGGGGTATGGACAACAACAAATTTTTTAGTTCAATTATAATCTTATGGTATTCCATCGTATGTGCCCACAGTGGTCAAACTGCAGATCTTCTACACCCTTATTGTGGCACATGTATAGTTGTATTTATGTATATATATACAGTTTCCTCTTAGGGACTGTCCATAAATGACATCCACACTGGAAAGAAGGGAGGGGGGTTAATTATTCTGGATGTAGTCCTTATCTTGTAAACTCCATTTCTTAAATCAACAATTTTTCCCACAATATTTTTGGTATCTAAAGGATCACAATCTATTTTTGGTACATTAAGAAAAATACTTTTTCCAATATCTAATAGGGGAATTTTCTTACAGGTATCATCAACCATCTTTTCTGCAGCCCATTTAATTACTTTATGCACTTCTTCTCTTTCACTTTTGCCTATTAAAAAAAATTATGTCTAAAAGTGGCACAAATAAAGAAAGGTATTGCTGTTCTAGACTGAAATAAACAATGAAATAATTTATGTAGCCAAGTCAAATTTTTGTAGCCCAAAAAGTAGGCAATGCACCAAATGATTTTTCTGCACCAAACTAAAATAAAGTAGTGAGAATCAGAAGTAAATATGACAATCTGATGTTTTATCTAACACTGCATTGTAAAGCAGATAATCATTTTGCCAGCCATATTATATTATAAGCCATATATATTATATTAAATGTCATTCAATCCAGCAGGATTTTGTTTAGCCTCTTAGTAAAGTGGGTGAATATTAGTTAGCTTTATTACAAAACAGCACCATTTAATCAAATGCCTGGGCACTTTATAAAGTAGCTAAATTAATATTCTGGCTATGACATATATATATATATATATTATATATATAGTGTAAGGATATATTTAAAATACCATTCCAATATAGAATTTGGCCCCTGGTATATATGATTCATTGGTAAATGACACAACTATAATTATAAGTAGAATTTTGAGAGAAATTTTATAAATATAATTCTAAACAAAACCTAGTTTTTAAAGTTTTTCCATTCTTTTAGATGACAACGAATGTGTTTCCGCTCCTTGTAATTCTGGCGAATTCTGCGTTAACACAGACGGTTCCTATAATTGTAAATGTAAGTAAATGCATACAAATTTAAGAAAAATTTTTAAAAAGGAAATACTTAAAAGTGTCTTTTAAATTTGTCCTGTTAATTTCCTCATGTGCTTGCAAAAGAACAAAACAAAGTTAGAAGACACTTTTATGTATTGCCTATTTTAAGAATTTTTTTTAAATTTGTGTGTTTAAACTTATTTGTCCTAGCAATTTTTATCAAATGTGTTTATTATTTTTTCGTAAGTAAATGCAATTTAAGTCATTTAACTTTGTAAATTAACATATTTAATTTAAGATGATTTGTTGAGAAATCAAACTTTAACTCTAAAATGTATTTCATATATACTAAAGAAAGAATTATTATGCAAACATTATTTAAACAGCTNTTTAAAAGATTAAAACTACTTGAATTCAAGGGTTGGATTTCACACTGATCTTTGGTTAAACAAGAGAAGAACAAATTATCATAGGCATTAATTACGCATAAATACCATTATATTTGCAAGTGCTTTTGATGTGCTATAAAACATCGTCCTCAGGCAGACACAATCTCAAATAAAATTTTCGAGCAAAGATTTTGAATTAAAACTAACGGCATTAATCCTTTAGAACAAAACTAAACAGAACAATTAAATTGACACATGCATGGTGACAATGCGCATGCACCATAATGTGTTGAATAGGCACCAAGAAGGAGCTAGAGATAATGTTTTAATCTTTTATACAAGCTGACCCATATAGCAGGCAACTCAAGCATGAGGGAGTTGCACGGATTTAGTAAAACAATAAGGAGGGCCTCCCAAACATACACCAGGCTCCTCTGATCACAATACCTGAGTATTGCCACACAGTCCCACAGCAGGGCGTGTTGATGTTGTAACACCATTCTTGCTAGCTCAGTGTCACACCTGCCTGTCCTGATGGAATGTTGGAGTTTGGAGATGCGGCAAGATAACATTCTGATTGTCACTCCTATGTAGGGGGTGTGAATATCAGATGTGTTTTCCAATGGGATAGAGTATAGTATGGAAATAGCATACCTGTCATTGCATAGCAGCCTCCTGAGATTTGGCCACGGAGTGACCAGCAGAAATAGTGCATGTTGTCTAAAAATACAGCAAATGTGGGCAGTGATGCGGCCACATAACAGTAATGAGGGACGGACAATTGTGCATTCCTTTGGGATGCGTAAAGTGGTAGTGGGAAAAAGAGATCATTTAACCTTGTTCAAGATATATTTATATTTGGAATTAGTATAAACTGTCATATTTACTGCTGAGCGAATGGCAGTAAGCTCAGTATTGATAGCAGTTTGTGTGGAAGGCAACAGAAAGATCCTTCTAATTAAAGGGGCTATAACTGCATTGATGTAGTGCTGCGGATGGTATGCTGTGGCAGGGATTAAAGGAGTTATGTTGTCCTAGCCTCTAGCTCCTTCTCAGCATCTATTCAACACATTATGGTGCATGCACATTGTCACCACATGTGTGTCAATTTAAATTCTTCATGTTTAGTTGTTCTAAGTTTAGTTTTGTTCTAAAGGATTAATGCCGTTAGTTTTAATTTGAAATCTTTGTTCGAAAATTTTATTTGAGATTGTGTCTGCCTGAGGACAACGTTTTATAGCACATTGAAAGCACTTGGAAATATAGCAGTATTTATACGTAATTAATGCCTGTGTGATAATTTGTTCTTCTCTTGTTTAGATTAAAACTAAAACAGGCTGTATAAAAACTAAAATTTAAAAAAATTGAAATTTTATATCTTAAAAAAATACCTGACAATGATTAGTTAATGATTAATCATACAATTAGATGATTATACAATCCTGATTTATCATTCATTGTTATTTGATGTACTTAATAATCATTCCATCACTACACTTGAATACACAAAACCGAGTATCGAGCATCCTAAACATGACTGTGAAGGGTTTCTTTTTTCATCAAGAATTTTACTGTAACATGCTAATAGTTCTTGCATACTGTCTATAAGACATGTTTATTTTGGAATTTATTGTAGTGAATGTAAATCAAGAATCATTTATAAATAGCTTAATTAAACTGTACAATAACGCAGTTTCTTTTACAGGAAAAATTAATTTGATAGATTAATAATATTTTTTAACATGTTTTAGTGGGAGTGTGGTATCTTACTTATTTCTCCATTAAATTTGATACCTTTAAACTAATACCATTATACATATGAACAACTCATATTAAAATATAAATTTTATCAAAGAAATGATTTTATAAGTAATAGATCTCAGAAATTATTATTAATTTTTTTTCTATTTTACTAATTCTATTAATTTTAGAATTGTAAACTATCCTAATAGACACTGTCTTCATATAACTATAATTTGTGATTGTTACAGTGAAGTACGTTTAGTTGAAATTCAAGAAAATTTATGTTCTGATGTAAAGATTGGTGAAGATGATGTAAGTGTTTAATGTTTTAAAAACTTTGGTTTCTTAATATTTTTATACATAAAATTACTTAAAATATATCTGTTAATGATTAAGAATGATAATTTCTCTAATATTAACTAATTAAATAAAAACAACTATCCATGTGAATTTTATACAAAGTAGGATCCAAAAGTTTGGGAACTTGGCATATAGTTCCTTGCCTTGAATAGCTTAAATTTCTGACACACAACTGCCTTCAAAATAATTCCCTTGAGTGACGATACACTCAAGGGGCAGGGCAATGCTTCCAGAAGCCAGCACTCGCATGGCTTCTGGAAGCATTGCCATAAGCCATCTTTCACAGCCACTCATAATGCCTCTTACGATGCCTTTACTTCTTTCGGAATTTATTTCCAAAGACAGAGTGCTGAACATAGAGCATTATCTAGACATTTTATATCCTTCATGTGAAATTTTTAAATAACAAATAAATTAATTGAAATATCTTATACTTTATAGATTTGTTGTTTTTAAAAGGGGAATATTTTTACAATTCAGTGAAAATACTATTGAAATAAACTGATCCATTTTGGGATTATAACTTTAAATTCCATCATCTAATTGTTTAATTTCCAAATAACTCATTTAATGCTGTTTGATTAATAAAATTTAGCAAACTTAATGTTTATATGATTTGTATATCTTAACAAAATTTGTGCTTTTATTACATTCAATAATTGAAATTATATGGAATTTTCTTTTATGAATATGCATATTGTGTAGTATAATTCATTTTTTGTAATACAAACAATATAAATGTTTTCATTTCAGTGTCATAATATGGCAGAACAGCATGAATCAGTCTTGGAAGATTGGTGGTTTCATCACAAACAAAGCATTGCTTTATTTCAATATTTTTGTATCGATAACGTGAAAGGTAATAAATGTAAAAATATTTCTTTTGTATATTCTTCATTGAAAATTATTTTGTTAATTAGAAGATGTTGAATGGTTTAAGAGAAAGTAAAATTTTTCTAAATGAATTTTTTACCAAACTCAAATATTTACAGCAGATTCATATTTTTTAGTAATCTCAAAAGTTTTTCAATTTTTAAACGTTTGGATTTCATGTTACCTATTTACATATTAAGGAGATATGACGTCTAAATATAATTTTTCACTTTGAGGTGAAAGAAACAGTCTGCAAAGTATTGTAAGAGATGAACTGTAGTGTAATTTAGTAGTAAATTTAAGGTACGAGATGTCCAAAAAAGTTACCATATAGTGAGAAATTTATAATAAAGTTATACTTACAGATTGCACATACATAAGTAAGCCATACATTGTGCATTTCCACTTTGCAGTAGATGGCATTACTGATCACTTGTAGATGTTCTAGTTTTTGGAAGACTTGTTTGACAATCACATAATCTTCCACAGAATCTGTCCCTTGATGTCTTTGGACCTTGCTCCTCTGGATTTTAGTCTCTGTGGTACATTTCTGGCATTTGCCATTGCAATTGCCTATGGGAATATTATCAAACCAATTGGAATTATTGTTGGCATTTCCGTAATCATTTGACACAATTCTAGATGACATTCTTTATATTGAGTAGCTAAGAAATGAAAATAGCATTTATTTTATTTCTTTAATGATATGATTCTATTTCATTTGACATGCCAAGCTGACTGAAACTATAACTATTAATGAAATATAAAACACCTTACCACTGGGGTATTTAAGTTTTCTCTACTAATGTTTTTCAACTCTGTTTATGAGCAAATTTGAACATAATTTACCTAATCAGGTAAATTATGTTCAAATTTGGAAAAACATCAAACATTTCTTTTCAAATTTAAAATGGAATTAACAAGAATATATTTAACAACTTTTTAACTTTAAAATTCTAAATTATTATTCTACTTACTTATCCATTTTACTTAATTAAACTTGACTGGAATTTTTATGGTTCCTTATCTATTTATTATCACTAAAAGAAATTATTTTTGAATCAGAAAGTCTATTTGTTAATTTTTGCTGTAAATTTTTTAATATTCTGAAATGTTTCCAGTGAAATTTTGTTTAATTTAATTCAAAATTTATGCAATATTTTCTCTTCCAAATGATTTTCTTAAAAACCCAAAATTTTATGAATAAAGTCTTTCTACATTTCAAAAAGGAAAAATAAAACTGTTAATGTAGGATCATAAGCTAACAATAGAACATATAAATATTAACTTAACTGAACAAAGCTGCCAACATGTTTTAATTTTTGTATTTATCAAGACATTCCTCCATTCATTTATCTTTCTTTATCCAATACAAAATACAGTCAACTATTTACTTTTTTATTTAAATTGAATTTCTTCTAATTATTCATTCTTTGGTTGAAGTTGTGTAGATAAGTGCCATAAATTAAAAAGCATTTGAATAAATCTACTTTGTTTGTTTTCTACATATGAAGTAATGCTTTATGACTTCATTAGTAGATGTATTTGAAAAGATTTTGCATTATCCAATTAATTATGTATTGTAGAGTGTAATTATTTAATTAATTAGTATGTATAGAGCTAAAATGTCTAGGCCAGGCATGGCCAACATATGGCC